AATGAACAAAAAACTCTCAGTAAGTTAATGTAATTTGGATAACGAAAAACAAGGTATAAAAACCCACAGCTTTGAAGTAATAACCTAAACCGGGCCAAACTACGTATTGTAAGCTCTCTGGGCTTACGTAATCTATTCTTACTAACAAGTATAATGTGAATTTTATTGAGACTGATAACGGGTTTCCGTGCAATTATTTCGACAAACTGCTTCAGCTACAGTCTACTTTCTTGTAGTTTAGCTTCGTTTCTAGATTAACCTCTGCATCCTTTTATCTTCGTTGGTTCACACACAAGGCTGTACGCAGTATTGTACTAACTACCCTTGTGCAGTTGTACCACCCATGAAGCGTAAGTCGCTGCACGTAAATGGATCTGTACTGAAATCTGCATATAAAATTATCCCGTCATTTATGCTGCCCGTCAACACCATTCGTCTTTTAAATATCCGAGCTGAGTTCAAGGTCCTAGACATCTCTATAGTGTCCCAAAGTCGAAGACCGCCTGGTTTATTAGATGGACATTGACTTGCGCAGTGTAAATGACTGCTTTGGTAATAGTTTCCAGAAGGCACCTCCTCACTTTCCACTTATTTAAACGTTCATTGGAACCTTTCGCTTCCCCCCACACCAACGCCTTACTCACACTTTGCCTCAAAACCCATTGCAATTGCTGTTGCCAACCAGCTCCTAGGGCTTCAAGGGGAACAGTCGAGCGCACCCACTCGTTTTTGCTACGTATCCGCGGATGTAGATATCAATTTCCACAAAAACAATAATGACTAACCCCTTGTCATCCCTGCTTGCATTAGTAAACTTTGCCTTAATTTGCATCACCCCTTCGCAGCTGTGGGATCTTGACAAACGCCAGTGCACACGGACTCTGACTCCTCTTTCAGCCATTCACGATGTCGTCGCCTGTTGCTCCCTTCAGTCCGTCATCAGCGGTCATTTCGACAAAAAGGTGCGCATCTGGGATCAACGCTCCGGTAACATGACCAACGAGGTCTCCCTCTCCGGCCGCATAACCGGTCTTGACCTCTCCTGCGGTAAGCAGCCCGCTTTCTGTGCTTTGTTCTGCCTCACTGTCCCCCCCCCGCCCC